TTCATAATGTCCTGCTTTTCTTTCACTGATCTTTCCACTTTTGTGGCAATATTACCTTGTGGATAAATGCAACAGTTATGCGCTGAAAATGCTTACAAGGAAACGACCTAGAGCCTATTATACTTGTGCATTATAGCACATACACACATGCATGTGTGTCTATGTATATGTGTAGGTATGTATCTGTTGTATATGTATAATATCTGTGCATGTGTATGTACATCTATATGTATATATTCAGCATATTAAGGGCCAAGTGCACTTCTTTAGATTAAATAGATATCAAATTTGACTAGGTAAAGCAGTGCTGTCCTCTGGCCCCCAAGATGGGGGGCCAGATATCTCAGTGACACAAGACCACCTTGGTATAAACTGGGTGCACACTGTCCTTTACTCTTAAGACTGAAAGAAGACATTCTGGTCAATGTCTTCCCTTCAGCAAGGGAGGGCCTCAGCAAACAGCCAGTGCAGAATCTTATTGTTGCTGCGGAGAAAGATTTAAGCCCAGACACCTGAAATCCCTACACTCAGCTTGGCATCTTGCTGCCAGGGTTGCCTGACTCCCAGCCACTAGCCGGTGGGTAGTAGCAGGTGACCTCATTGATGGTGCTGAGTGTGTGTCCTGAGCCATCCTCAGGAACTCCAAAGATTAGATGCACCCTGAGCTTATTCTTGGTTTATTGGGATGCAGGCAGCTACTGAAAATTAGCAGGGGCATCTTCCAACCTCCCATGTTCATGGTCAGGCTCTGTGATATGGAAATTTATGGCCTCTATTCCCTACTTGAACTCAGTTTAAGCAGCCTCAGAAATATTTTCTAAAGGAAATTAGGCCTTGGTAAAATTGTGTGAGGTTAGCCAGATGTGAATTGTGAAGGGACTGATTCACAAAAGGGTGCCAGTGGGCTGATAATCTAACGGTTCTTGTAAACAGAAACAGAAACAGCCCACGTCCTTTGGAAAACTTACCCCCAAACCCTCTGCAAGCTACCTCTGCCTCCGCTGGAAAAGGTGCATTCCCTTGACTCACCCTTGACTCAAGGCAGGGCTGCTAGATGAATCTGTGTAGATGGTGCCCTGGCATGGCCCTAGGGGAATTGGGAGGAGAGGGAGGAAAGACGGCCCTCAGGCTACTGCCCTGTGGCGGGGCACTGGCCACTTGGAGGGCATGGAGCAGAGTCCTTCTAACCTTTTCAGCAGAAGCCCTGCATGACAACCTCAGCCCTGGCCTGTAACTAGGTTTAAACTTACAACTGGGTCAGGCCTCGGACAGCTGCGCTTACCAACTCTTTTTTGCTTAGTTTTCATTCCTTAAGAGACAATCTTGGGCCCTCCCTGGTGGCGCAGCGGGTTAAAACACAGCACTGAGAAGCTAAAGCTACTTCAGCATGAGTTCAATCCCCGCCTGTCCCAGAGGTGACCCACATGGCTTGGCAGACCTTTCCTGACCAGCCCGCTACTCCCCTCAGCAGTGTACTTCATCAGTCAGCCTGTTCTGCTCCCCACTCTGTCTCTGGTGAAGCCTCTCGCCACCCCTGAGCCTCTGGCCTGTACCCCAGTTATATATGCACAAATAAATAAATCTTAAAAAAAAAAAAAAGAAAAGAAAACACTCGATGTCCTTAGAACAATTTGTAAAGCTCACTATGATTTGCACTGCCCTGCCTATCTGTCTCCATGTGGTCACCCCTTGTTACTCCATGGCCAGGGCACCCCCTCATGGTGCCTTCTCCCTGGGGGGCCGCCCCCTCAGAATCTCTTATCCTTCTGTCTGCCTTTGAACCTCTGCTCTCCTTGAATCCCTCTCCCCATCTTTTCAAAAAGGGCACCCCCCCACCCTGCCATCCGTGTTCCCTCATCTTACTTTCCCACCATTTACAAAATCTGTCATGAGTTTGTCTTTCCCTGCCAGAATTTAAGCTCCTGTGGGATGAGAACTTCGTCTTGGTCACCCAGTGCCCAGCAGGATGTTGAGCACACAGCAGGAATTCAAAAAAAGATTCATTAAAGAAATAGTAGAATGAATGAAATCCTTCACTTTACCCTGCCATCTCAATCTTCTCTTGCCTGATCTATCAAGGGTCTGGAAGCAGTGTGTGAAAATATATTACATGAGGAAAGTGGCAAAGAAGATCAAGGTAGAGAATACATGAGGATCTTCCCCCCAGGTAGATGCTGTTGACATAATTAAACATGTCAGCCAGTGGGAAGTTCTATGCTCTGTAACTGGTTAGAATATTCTAGTAACTCCCAGCCTGCTTTCACAGACACCAGTGGATGAAGGACAGTTTGCTACAGGAAGGAAAAGGCTCCTGGTGGTGACCATTTTAAATCAGCTTCTTTCCCCCTACTTGGGGACTCTAGGAAGAAAGTATTAACTGGTACTTTGGGCCTAGATGCCATCGCCACACACACCCCTCTGACATGTCCCCCTCAGTCACTGGTTGTGGTTGAAATGTTTATTTAGATGAAAGGTGCTCTGGGCCTTGTACCTTGAGTTATGAGCCTATTTTGGCAACATGGTTGGGAATACATCTTGCTCTCCTTGAGTCTCTGGGGTCAGGACATTTCTGTTTTCAGTGCCTGTTATAAAGCAGTTAGTTGTGTGAGACAAAGTCCCTCTGCAGCTGCTGTTTGGGGGTATTTGTTTGCTGGTGGTTTTGCAAGGCTTTTAGACAATGATAACATAATAGGCTGTTTTCTTCTGGCCCAGACACGTGCACCTACACCACGGCTGAGCAGAGTCTCCAGAGGGGACCTGCCTCTCACCCCCTCAGAAAACTGGAGGGAGTTACTGCCAAGCATCCTAAACATGGGAGAGCAGAAAATCTGAGGTAGCTCCTTCCTGTGTTTTGCTTCAGGAAAGGCAAACCTAGTAGAGTATACTAATTTCTGCTACACACAACAGAGTGGGGCCTCAGGCAGGCCATTCAAGAGACACAACTTCTTCCTTGGTGCTCATAGCAGAAACTACCAGTTCCATACCATTGCAACTTCTGAAGTGTTTCTTGGAGGACTCTGTCTCTGCTGTAGGACCGTTAGAGAAGGCATATGACTTTCTATAACCTGAGGATGATCCTTTGTATCTGAGAGAGGGTTCCTTGCCCATGGCAGGGTTTAGTGAATTCTGCTGGGGACTCAGCATGTAAATCTGTGGATCGAACTCACTAGGACATGTATGAAGAAGAAAAGTACGTCCACAACTGGAAAATGCTCTTAGTGACCAAACTTCTAGCCTCTCCCTGCTACTATTTACCTCCTAAACAGGTATGATTTCTAGAATACTATAGAATACTAATTTTTTTTCTTAAATCATTTTTACCTCTTCCTTCTAAAATTTTACCAAGGAAAGAAATTTTGTTCTTCATGAAAGTAACTTGTTAGCTGGGAGGATAGGCAGCAACAGCATTTCAGGAGAGCTCCCTCTCTGGTAATTATGCATATTCTGAAATTTAAAACAAAAGCCACTGCTGGCCAGTACTGCTCACTAATTGTCAGATAACAGAGAAACACTGCATCAGAAAATCCCCACTGAGTTTAAGTGGATGATTTCTCTGGCAACAAATGTAGGCTTTGGCTGTCCCCCTAAGGACTGGTTGAGCAAGCCAGGGCCTGAACTCTCCACACACTTCCTTTCACCCACTGTGAGCACAGCATGTGTGGGGAGGAGAAGAGGGGTGCAGGGTCCCTAGCTCACAATTTTAGGCAGCTGTACACCCCACCCAGGAACACCACAGCAACATAATTCATCCCACACCTCACAGCCAGGGTGATCCCAGCCTCAATGGACAATAATTTGGAGGCATTGTTTACAAATCAATTCTCCCTTCTAAATAGGCTGTTATAAGAGTGGACCCTTCTGCTTGCCTAGCCTGGCCCACCTGTCACTGGGACTTCCTAGCCAGTGGTCACACTGTATTGATCTTTTTAATCCCCTCTCTTTGAAACACAGAGCCAGCTGATGTGGAGTTCCTCAAAAGAAAGACTCTCACCGCCCCTACCTCTACAGGTAGCTGTGTATCCGGGGCTAATTCCCCACTAAAAAGTCTTAATTGGCTTATGGGGAGCCTGAAAGATCTCCCTTGTGTTTACAAGGTGAAAGGAAATGATAGATCCCAAATGCCTTAGTCTGTCTTTATCCGTTTCTGGTGGAAGTCAGGTGCATTTTATTTTTTAATTGTTTCTGAAAGGACTGGAGGGATTGGAGGTGGGTGGAGATAGTGTTTCACGTTAGTGGTTGAGCTGCCAGAGGAAGGGAGGAAAAACCACAGAGAAACATTAACATTAGACAAGAAACTTGGTGGCTTATTATTTTTTTTACTTAGTTTTTATTTACATGAAACATCTGCAGTACAAAAATGTAAACTTTAATAGGTCATAATAATAGAATAAACTTTTTATGTACAAAAATACATTTTCATATGAATGAAGCATCTTGAATAAATTAAAGTACTCTCCAGCCCGGTGCCTGAATAGCTATGCAAGAGGCTCCGGTTCTTCCTAGAGCAAGCCTGCAGTGGTGGGGGTCGGGATCCATAATGCATGAAGCCCACTCCTTGTCTCTCCTTTTTAAGCCTTTTCATTGTATTGTCAGCCGGCTCAAACCGAATTTTCATGCTCGTTTTTCTTCATTAGAGTTCTACAAATTGTAAAATTGACTTTTCACCTCGTCTTCAGGGGCTGATCTGTCCCTTTTCTAAATCACACTGAAGTGGTGGCTGGGGTCAGCTCTGAGCCAGCCACAAAGGAGGTTTTGTGGAGTTCAGAAAGTGCAAAAGGAAAGGCCGTCTAGGGGCGGGCAGGAGGGGCTCAGGGTTGAGGGCTGGAGAAACAGACCAAGTGGCAGCCACCATGAGGGTTCTGCGGCCTAATAAGCGGCTCAGGTATCCCCCACCCTTTAAAGCGCCTGCTTTCTCTCTCCGTCCGGACTGGGATCTGGAGCCCCATCTACTGCCAGTTCCCTGGAGGAGTGGGGGGAGGATGACGGCGTCCAAAAAGAGCCTAGTGATAAGGGATGAAACAGGGTGCATTGTGGAGCAAGTCTTTTGGCAGGCCAGGGAAAGAGAAAAGGGGGTCGCCGGGGCCATAGGCGAAGTCTTCCGAGGCGGCTGGGCTACAGGGGTCAGAGAGTGGCGAGGCGGCGGTGGCGCAGGGGGAAGCGGCTGCACCAGAGCCCCAGGACTCGGCGTCGCTGGCGGGGCTTGCGGGCGCGGGCAGGCAGGGAGTGCACGGCGGCGGCAGGAGGCGCTCCCGGGCACCGCCCCCAGACAGCCCCTGGTCTGCCAGGCGCAGCGTCTCTGCCAGAGCCCAGATGTAGTTGTAGGCGAAGCGCAGCGTCTCGATCTTGGTTAGCTTGGTGTCGTCGGGAAAGGAGGGCAGCACGCTGCGCAACGCGTCCAGCGCCGCGTTCAGGTTGTGCATGCGGTTGCGCTCGCGGTCGTTGGCTTTGACGCGCCGGCTCCTGCGCAGCGAGTGCAGCAGCGCCTCGGAACGCACTCGCGCTCGGCCCCTTCGGCGCCGCCGCTCCTGTTCCTCGTCCTGAGTCTCTGCGACGTCTGACGTCCCGGGAATTTCGGGTGCAGCCCTGCGGGCGGCCACTGATGGACCCGAAGCGGAAGCTGGAGGTTGGAGTCTGGCACAGTCCTCCTCGTCAGTGAGGAAGCCGGAGAGGTCACTGCTGCTACTGCTGTTGCTGGAGCAGTCGAGGTCGGAGAGGCAGGTCTCCAGAGAGGCTGGCATCGTTGCGCAGTGTTTGACCGACGGAAGGCTTAAAGGGCACTTGGAGGGCTAGAGCCCGAGCTCAAGATAGGACCGCCGGGGCACTTAGTTTAGAATCGCCCCGAGGTTATTCTGCGCCTGCTGCGAGCGCAAAAGCCTGGAAGGGCACCCCCGGAACTTGGCCTCACCTCCTCGCCTCGCCTGCAGGGGCCACGCGCCGGGGCCGGTCTCCTGAGTGATCTCGCCGGCGATCAGATCAGCTCGTGTGAGCACCGAGTGTGGCACACGACCGGCCTCAGGACCCCTTAAGTACCCAACGCAACAATGGGCGCCCCCTCCTTCCTGCCACCTCCGCCCCCGAAGCAGGCCCCAGTTGAATGGAGCTAGGCGGCAGGTCAGCCCCGTGCGGCGCCCGGGTATTTGCATAATTTATGCTTGTGGGGGGCCGCCCCCGCCCCTCCCCCCACCCGGAGCGTGCCCGTAATTACCGCGGGCCAATCGGCGGCGTCGCCGGGCCCCAGGAGCCCTCTCCAGGCTAAGCCGGTGGGGGCGTCTCTAGGCAGTGAAACCCAGGCTGGGGGGCGGCGGGCGATTAGTGGCGGAGGCACACTCCTCCGGGGGCGGGAGGGGCGCCCCTTGCTGGCTCGGGATGGGGAGGCGGGGCGCCGGCTGGAAAATGCGAGTGGTTCAGCGAGTTGCAGAAAACTGAGACAGTCGGGAGCCTGGGTTCTCATCCTCTCCCGCTGCTGAATGATTTTGACTTTTCTGAACCTCATTTTTTCCGTCTGTAAAATGGGACACAAGTCTGCACAATTGAGAACGACATGAGATCGTGTTTGTGGGACACTTGGCTGGGCGAGACTTTTGTAGTGGGGTACCCGGTGAATCGTTGCCATATGCAGTGTCGTCGGAAGCCAGGTAAACTCTACACCAGCAGTATTGCGAGTGGCTTGGGGAGGACCGTGGAGCACAGAGTAGGGCTATGCCCTTCCTCCCCGCCTTCCTCTCCAACGAGTCGGAGAAACAGTGTAATGTCTCTGCTGACCATCACCTGAGGGTGAGAGTTAGAGGAGCAGTGGTGAAAAGTAGAAGAACCAATGGGCTGATTTCCTAAGTTGGTTGGCGTCTTGTCCCCCTGGCTCCCCCACCCCACTCCCCTACAACACAGACCAAAGCCCTCGTGTCTCCCCTTGCCCCCACTCCCATCCCTTTTGTAGCAGCCCTTGCCACCTCTGTGGCACCCTGGACTGTGAGCCAGGGAGGACACCTGGCTTTACTGGCTCTGGAAAGAGGGTAGTCAGCATCCAGTGGAGCCCCCTCCCTGTCTCCTCCCAGCCATACGTAGGAGCCTATTCAGGAGTCACTTTTCTCCTGTCACCAATAAATGCTCTTGATCAATTGAAGCTCAGACACCCCCCACCCAACTTTGTACTTAGGGGGAAATGATCACTCAGGAACAGCACCAGCTTATGGAGACTGGTTAAAAGCAAAACGAACACCTTTCTGGAAAGTCTTGCTACATCTGGGGTGGGTCTTGGCTGTGGTGTCTGCTACTGCCCTCAAAGCTGACTGACCAGGATGCTGTTTCCATCCTGGAGGGTTCTGTGTGGAGGCAGTGAGTCTTGACTAGCTTGATCAGTTTGCTTTCTGACCCAGCAGACTCTACCTAGACCTCCTGCTCCCCAACATCTGCACCCCACACTTATTCTCAACCTTGGGGGAAGGCTGGCCATATCATATAAAGGCTTTGTTAGAAGTCACAGAAAGTGATTTTCATTAGTGTAAGCAAAAAGGGAAAGTATTGGATGGTAGCAGGCATCTCAGAGACCCAAGGGTTGCTGGGATTTGTGTAAATCTGCAGGAGCCCAGGGGTCCTCACTGTGTCTTGTCTGTTTCTCTCCCTGCTTCGTTGCGACTTCAGTACACTCCTTTCACCTTGACTCAGTGACAACTCAGAGCCCCTGTCATAATAAATGTCCAAAAGTGATGGGGCTTAAGCAGCAGATACTCTCTCACATTTCAGGAGGCCAGGTTCATGGTCAGTCAATAAGGAATGACTCCTTTTTGGATACTCTCAGGGAAAATTCCTTCCTGCCTTCCCTAGCTTTTGGTGGCTCCTGGCAGTCCTTTCAGTCCTTGGCATGTAGTGGCACCACTTCAATCTCTGCCTCTTTTTCCTTGGCATTTTTGTTTCTTCTTTTCTTTTTCTTACTCATTGGTCATTGGGTTTAGGGCCCACCCTGATCCAGGGTGAGTTCATCTTGAAATACCCAAATCCTGCTATAAAGACCCTACTCCAAGTAAGTTGACATACTGATGTGTCTTTTGGGGAGTCATTATTCAACACATTGCAATCCCTGCTTCAAATTCCTGGAGGAAAGAATCTGGTTGTGGAATAGGGTCTTGTCAAGGGCCCTTTGTCATAGTTTGACTAACTTGTGTATGAAGAGCTTTTCCACTGAGGAGTTTGAATGTGTGAACACCTTTTCCCATTCCCAGAAGTAGGGTGTGGCCATATGATGTTAGTGGGTCTGTGGCCTCTGAGCTTCTGATAGTTCAGAATGTGCTTGAGTCATGGAATGAAAGTGTCCAGGAGTCAGTGGGTGCCCTGATCTACTACTTCTTCAGATGTGATTCTGCTCTCTGCCCTCCTCCTTTTTCCCCTACGTGTGGTTCTCCAGCCTTCCCATTGAATGCAAACAAACAAACAAACAAACAAACAAACAAAGAAAAGAAAAGAAAAGAAAAGAAGAAGAAAAGAAAAGAAAAAAACCAGTAGGACTTTTTGTTTGAATTGGCCAGGTTTGATGTCTGTGATTTACTGCATAAAACACCAAGTTAAACACTCAGGCTTCCCACACATAGAGACTTATGGTTCTTGTTTCACGGTGTGCAAGCTACGTTGGCCTGTCTGGGCCAACCATTGCTTAAACTCTGGGGTCATAGGGGTAGACACTTTGCTGATGGAGGCCATTGGTTTTGAATCTCATATGCCTATGAGATATATACAGTGTAGATAGTGCCCTTGGGGGTACTTCATCCCTCCGCTGCACCTCATGCATGAAAAACTGAGGTGAGAAATGGAGAAGTCTTTTCTCCAGCTTGTCTCAGAAATCCCTGGTGGTCAAACTAGGACCAGGCTCAATGGTCTTTTTAGCCCTCTTGCTGTATTTTCTATCACAAGCAATAAACAAATGGTCACTCATGGCATCCTTCCCTGTGCCAGGAGAGTAAGGCAAGGCCTGAGACTTTGGGGAGGCCATAGAATGGTAACCCAACACTGAGGATTCACTAAGGACACAAAGATGAAAAACATCTTGTATCCCTCAAAGGGAAAGGGATGGTCAGGGAAGGTCCATGGCAGAGGTGGATTGGAGCAGATAAATGGATGGGGTGTGACTAGACTAGGCAGAGGGAGATTGGAGATGATTGTGGCGGCAACTTGAGGGGCTGTTTGAAAGGGGCATCTGTGCTGGTTGGGAAGAAGGAAATAATGGGCCTTGAATGCCCTTGGTGGCCTTTTTTCTTCCTTTCTGTTTGCCCCTCCTTCTGCTCTCTCTGAGCATGGCTGTCACACAGGTCCATGGTTTACTGCGCAAAGGCATCCAGACAAGTAGGGGCTAAAATCTCGCCTTGCCCCCAAGCCACGTTCCCTGTTCCCTGATGTGGAACTGCATCTGTTCAGAGAAGGGTGCACAAAGGCATCTTATGAACTAGGTAGTTTGACAGTCTCTTCCACCCAAATCTTAGTGACTGGCCAGGCAGGCATTTTAACTTGCCCTGTCTTCTCCTGGCTCTTGGCAGTACACATGGCAGCTCTTCCTGGACCTCCTTCCCCTTGTGCTTTTTGAAAGTGAATCTGAGGCTTGGAGGTGCCCCTCCTACACTTAACCCACTGAGGATGGAGCTGAACCCTGGGGAGAGATGGTAGCCCAGGCTCAGACTTGTTTGGAGCAAGCTCACACCTTTACCCTGATAGAGGAGAGGAAAAGATGGGTCCTTTTTAGAAGAATATGTACCCTCTCTGGAGAAGGGGAAAGTCTCTCCACCCCGCCCCCAGATGTCTTGGCACATAAAGTGCAAGCACATTGCTCCTGGAGCACAGTAATAGTCAACGTGGGCATCCAACCACAGCAGGTGCCCAGGTGGCTAGAGTGGCACCAGATGTCCTGATGGCTGATGTGTGAGTCATCCAGCTGCCAATCTGCTGAGGGGGGACATGTGGGGGGCACAGATTTTCCTTCGGAGGGACTGAATTAGCCAGACTTTCTCACTATGTGGTCACCTCAGGTGGCAGTGATGGTGGGAATCATAATCATAATTTCCAGAATCATAATCTCTGGAAAGGGTGCTGAAGTTAGTATTGATGGATGAGTAGAGCCTCTTAGCACCCTGTTTAGAGCAAATATCTTGCTTTAGCATCCATCATCCCACCTACCCCATGTTTTTCTAAGCCTCTGAGGCAGGTTGGACATGTTTTGGTGACAGCTTGGAGGTGCTCTGAGTGATGTGGAGACGGGTTTCTCCTGTGACTTTGCCTGCCTGATGGCAATTGGCAGAGCAAATGGAAGGAGGGACCCTTGAAGTCCATACAAGGCCACATGGTGCACACCTTTCTGGGCAGCCCTGGAGGTTTGGTTATGGAAGCAGGCGATTTTAGTTCTGTAAGAGAACCTTCCTGGCCCTCCCTGGTGGCGCAGCGGGTTAAAGCACAGCACTGAGAATCTAAAGCCGCTTCTGCATAAGTTCGATTCCCGACTGCCCCGGAGGTGACCACATGGCGTGGCAGACCTCTCCTGACCCGCCCGCTGCTCCCCTCAGCAGTGTACTTCGTCTATCTGCCTGTTCTGTTCCCCACTCTGTCTCTGGTGAAGCCTCTCGCCGCCCCTGAGCCTCTGGCCTGTACCCCAGTTCTGTATGTACAAATAAATCTTTAAAAAAAAAAAAAAAGAGAGAACCTTCCTGACATCACCACACAGATGAAGGAGCTGGTGTTCTGTAGCAATGGGAGAGAGAGTCTC